TGTCATTAGTCGTCCCTAAGTCTAGTTGCAAAGGCACGTCAATGGATACTTACTCGCCGTGAAAAGGTAAGTCAATGGCAAGCTTTTAACTAGTACTTTGTCCACTCGGGAATAGAGTGAACTATGCCTGAAATTTCTGTACACTTTCAACTTTTGCTTTTCGTTAAGAAGTATTAATTATTCAATTTTCTAGCCAAATCTAGTAGATTAACTTCGTTTTTTGCTATAATTCTCAAACTAATGAAGATATAAAAATTCTAAGTGTATGTTAATTTAAGTAGCAAAGTACTCTTACTAGATCACACATTAGATCTCTTAATAACCTTAAGCGCCTGGAGATATTTCCAAAAAACCGAAGTGGATAATCCGAAATCGAGGATAATCCACTTTAGTGAAACAGACCGTTGATTATTAAGATATTGAGACATTCAGTTCCTCGTCTTTTAATGAGTCTTACTCGTCTGTACTCTAATTAAGTATTGGAGGTCGTATGTAAATGAACTCATTCTATTGAATGTGCGTTGAGACAGTCTCAGTCTAAGTACTAAGAACTATTTCAATCTAAGTACTAATATGGATTAGTCAGACCTAAGCGTCACAAAATAAGCAAAAGCAGCCTAATGAAAATCATACTGAATTAAAATAAACTCTGAACCCAATTTGACTTCCAAATGCCTGCTCCATGGAGCTTTGGATCTACTGGGAGATAAACTGCTTTATGCTGAGCCATTCACTGAATTCTTACTGAATTTTGCAACCTAATTATTCCAATAAAATCAGCCGCAAACAGAAAAAGAGAAAAAAATTCTTAATTTTTTAAAATCTTATCACATTTAAAATCATATCCACAAACCTATCAACATAACACGACAATGTCCATAAAACGGTGATTTTTTTACAAACAATTTTAATTCTGAATCGCCACTAATTTTTATCAGGCTTTTGACCTCAAATTAAAAAATTTTTCATCCAACATCTAACTGTTATAAAAATAACCACATCTGGCCACGTGGAATCATGTCCATCAACTCAATCAAATAACTTTGGTTTTAATAAAAAAAATTTATGAGATTTAAAATCACCGCGAGATATAATAATGATCGCGTGATTTCTATCGAGATTTGCTCTGAATTTGAACATAATGTTTTAAAGCTGTAAATAGAAATCGGAAGTGTCAACACTGGCGCTTTGACACGTCCTAAAAAAGAAATAATCGATATTTCATCATGATCATCAATATTGAAATAAATGAAATTAAACATGTGGAATTATTTATAGAAATTTTTCTTCTTTACAATGTTCGTCAATCGCACGATGGAGGTGCCGGCGAATGTTGTGGAAATACTGATGAAAAAAGTGCGAGATTTTGATTTAATTAAAATTTATATTTCTTTAAATTTCCACGTCTGCCGACGATGCGAGAGCTTTTATTTATATTTTGTTGTGATTTTTTCGGATAATTTAGTGGACGTGTTGCATTAAATATTGGAGATTTATTATCTTGTACTAGCTTATATGAAGATTTTTAAAAGTCTATAAATGGAAGCATCATCATATTTATTAATCCGTGCAGCTGAGCAATGATTTAATTGTATAGACGATTTTTGAGCAAGAAATTTAGTTTCATTTTCAAGGTTTGTCGACTCGGGAATTTTCTGAAAATTTGCAAAATCAAATTTAATTTCTAGGAGCACGTGGCAATCATTTTGAAACCATAACATGTTCATTATTGATCTTTTGGATTATATAGGCTTCCTTAGCTTAGTTTCTGTCGTTCTAGAAGTATATTTAACTGAAAATAGCATCAGCTTTATTAAGAACATGATTACAGTTGCTAATCTACTGATTCTACCAACAAAATCGTTAAAACTTCAAAATAATGATACATTTCAATGTATTAAAATTCAATTTCTTATTTTTCCGCAGTTTCCGACGATCTGTTAATGATTCATTCATATTTCACCATAAAAATCTAGAAAACACACACATTTTAAATTGTAATTTTATTATTATGCAATCAGCATCAGCACTTTTATAATAATCAGATGTTATCAAATTTAAAAAACACATTGCATATAATACAATGTATTACGTTTGACGTTGCTGGAACATTAATTTAGTATCTCACAGTGTTTGTTCATATTATGTAGTGAGGCACACTGTAGTGTCTGGAAGTTGATCGTTTGAAGAACTAAAATTTTGAACTTTTGAGCTATGCAATTGAAAAGTTTGTTAAAACTAAGGCTCTATATTTTAAGTATTTCTCAAATTAAGGTTGACAATATGGTAGATATAAAGAATTTTTGAAAAATATCTGAATTATTTTAAAATAAGTTGGGGAGGAGTAGAGGGGAAGGGGTTAAGCTCCCTATTAAATTTTGATTTCATTTCAAAATTTGTTCCGATCAGGGGATTAGAAATGATAGCTTTTACTATTAAAAAATATAAAAAAGACCCCTGAATGAACCACTGATAAGAATAAGGATCGAATAGATCAAATAAGTCTAATCAAACAAACCAGTGATTTGAACAAATTTATTTAAAGGACTCAAAAAGCCCACAATAAATTAGATAACATTTTTATTCAATTATTTACATGCGTGTCTATTTAAATTTAGTTTATATCATCGCTATAAAATAGTGTTAAAGGTCGTTATATCTATAAAACTGAGAGCTCTTTAAATGTTTTTGACATCAGTAATTGTTTGCTATTTAAATAAATAAGATTACATCAGCTCAAAGAGTCGAAATGATATTAGAATTAAATCTTTTTAAAATCAGAAAGCTTGAATCCTTACTAGCTACTGTCAATTCTTAAAAAAAAATATATTTCTTAAAATAAAGTAAGAAACTTTTGAATATTCCCCAAAAAAATATATTTATACTGTCGAAATGAATGCAACTTTGAGAAGTTTAAAGCATTTATAAGGAGATTTTTGAGAAAACATTTGCATTTTCTACACAAATGTGTCCTTCAATTTTACAATTTTTTGACTTTTAAAATTTTTCAACTTTATTTCATTGGAAAATTTTATTCTTTTTTGATCGAATTTTTTTTCATTGTGTGAGTTTATTTTTTTTTTGACTACCTCAGTGTGCGTACGTGAATTTAAACAAAGTTGATGCACCTTGGAAAATATAAAACAGTTCAGTATATCTTTAATATTTATTTAAAACATTTTGCAATTTAAATGCCAAAGTTTTGCATCTCAAATACAATTTTGCATCGATCACCATTCTCAATTCTCAGAAAACAAGAAAGAAAAAAGTCCCGTTTAATTCGTTTCTCGAGTCTCTTGAAGATGACTTTTTATTAGTTTTAAGCTCTCGTTTGCATTCTTATTTTAAGGCACAAGAAACAAAAAAAAAATTTCAACTTTTTCATCTGACTCCATTCAGTTTCGCATTCGACACGCAGTGAGTTTGTGCAGTTGAAGTAATTTTTTTTTTCTTTTCTTAGAATTATTTCGCTATTTATTTTCTTATCAACACATTTTTTTCCAGCATTTCCTACATAAAATGTGAAAATATCGCAACAGTATTGGCAATCGTTGTGGAATTTAGTTGGAAATAAAAATCATAGCGCCGTGACTTGTATCAACAAATATTGCAAAAAAATATATAGGAACTGAAACTATCTTATCAAAATTCACACAGTTTTGGTCTTATCTGAAATACTTGTAAGTGTAGTGAAAAGCTATAGCTTTTATGTATTTTCGAAAAGACATTTAAAATTTAAAGTCCACCGGAGAGACTCGATAGTGGTGTAAAAAAAATATTAAATGAATACAAAGTATATGTGTGAATACGCATGTAAGTGAGATCGTGAAAAAAAGAATAATTTTCCTGCTTTATTGCTCCGCTGAGCAGAATTATCATCATCTCTTCCACCCGCTGGTGCCGATCGTTCATCATTTATGTACACATTATTATGTATATTGAGGTAAAATACATAACGAAGTGAATTTTGTTTCTCATAAAGCCTTTGAGGCTGTACATGCAATAAAGTACATAAAAAGGAATTTTTTTTTTGGTTAGAGAAGTGAAAAGTGCCAGCGAAATATCAGACATATACTGAACCGAAAAATAAATTAGAAGCAAAGAGAAGAAATATTTTTCGGAACGAGAGAGAAACTCGAAGTGGAATGCAAAAAGTGAACCGGCATATTTTTGATCGAGCTCTGTTTTCATTTTCGAATTTGAGTAAGAATGAGATGTAAATAAAAAACACATGAACCAGCCGGCAGAATTAAAAGTGATCTCGTCTCTCTCTGCTCAAAAACTATTCTCACTCTCGTAATGTGTTACACAAAAAAAAAAGTAACGAGCAACGATGTATATATAAAATAAGCTAAAGAGTATGAAAAGCCGAAGCAGTAAGTGATCTCGCTCTCCGACAACACACAAGAAAAACACACAAAGCAAGAAGTAAGAAGAAGAGTAAAAAACTTTTACTTCATTCTGTGCGACTCCTAATCGACGTTATTCTACATTCAACATTACTACGTTAAACATCCAAAAATATTACTCGAAACCTGAGCATTGAGAAATATTTTTTTATTATTATTATTATATATATTTTTCCTTATTATTTTAATTTCTTTTAATTTGTATTTACGGCTTCGACAAATATTTCTCTCGACTATTTTTTTTTTCAAGAAAAACAAAAAGAAAAATATAAAAAAAGAAGTGTAAAGTGAACTAAAATCAATAAGAAGTACTGTGTGAAAAAAAATTATATATTTTTATCAGTGGTGGATTTTTTTAAAAAGAAAGAAAAAAAATATTTGATATATATTAAATAAGAGAGAAGAAAATAAGAAGTTTTGTGCTGTACATGAAGGTGAAATTGAAAGTGTTGTGAATCATACTGAAAATTAATTTTATGATTCCTTAAAAAAAATATTAGTGACACAAAAAAAAGTGCAAAAAAAGTGACTGAAAAAAAACACACAAAAAATTAAAATAAAAGAGAAGAAATAAATCTCAAAAAGGACCACAAAAGACAGTCCAGGATGGATTTATCCTGTAACGAAACAATGATTAATGATGAAAATGAATATAATTTGTATGTAGAATATCAGTCGGATGAGAAGCCGGCAACAAGTGCTGGTGGTATACAGCAGCAACAGCAACCGACTGTTCAAGCATCATTAGGCTCAAATGGTATTGGAAAATTATATTCAAATGCGTGTACGGATCCGACATTCCTCAGAGATCGATGCTTGAAGAATCTATTGACTTCACAGAAGCGCTACAAGACGCCGTCATGTAGCTACTTCGGTACTATTCAGAAAACTCTAACGCCACAAATGCGAAAAATTGTAGCCGAATGGGTCATTGAGGTGAGTCTTATTTTTATTTTATTTTATTATATATTTTAAAACGGTGTCATTTGTGTCTCGCGATTGAAAACAGAAAAAAAAGAAACAAGTTATTTGGAAGGAGGAAGTAAATGACGATCATAAAGTTAATTGCATGCGAGCATGCAGTGAGAAGGAGAGTGCATTTCCAAATGTCCTGTGCCGAACATATTTTTTTTTTTTATTTTACGTTCATTCCTTTTGTCTTATTCCCCTTCGCTAATAGCACATTGAGTATGTTGGAGGGTTCAACAGTTTGTTAATTACACACAGGACACAATAATAAATAAATTGCTGTTGGATTCCTTCAAATATCGTAATCAACACATAGCAATCTTATATGAAACGAGCACAATGGAGTTGCTGCTTTTAATGACTCACGGGACGCTTACACAAAAAAAAAATACTATAAAATTCCTTTAGTCAAAAATTGTTCGATAATATTGCATGATTCCCTATAATGCAAGACGAACCAAAAATACCTTTTACAAAATAATATTATTTTGATATTAAAAAAGCGGCAGCTGGTCTCTCTCTCCTTATTTTGTTTTTCTTTTCTTGATGGAGTTGCAGCTGGCTGGCGAAGCAACTTCTTCGATTGTAAATAACAATAATAATATAAAGAACTACTCCGTAATATTACAAGAACAAAAACGTCGTAAGGAAGACAGAGAGAGAGAAAAGGTAACCAACCTGAAATGCGTAATTATATTCCTTAAAGGCGACTGACTCACAAAATGCAATAAAAAAATATATATTTTTTCGAATTGGGAATAGACAGTCAGATGTGATGAGTTTCTTGTAAGAATACGAAAAAGGAACAGAAAAAAAATAATAAATTTCCTTTTTATATCAAAAGGCACACAATGTGCTGGTTACATTGCATATGCAAGTCAAACCATATTTTGGACGTTTTAATGATTCTTAAAAGGAAACTTATAAGGGTCCTACTGACTAAATGGGAATAATATTGGAAGGGGGTTAAAGCAACGACCATCATCATCATCTTGAGACAATGAATGCACTTTTATCGATCAAGATATGTAGAGTCAAGTAATAACAGTCAAAACACATGGTCACAATTGAAAAATTAAAATGATAAATTTCCGGGGAGACAAACAGAAATGAACGTTATCCGGTCGAACAGGTACTCATTGGAACTTTTTTACATCATAATATGACAAAATATACGCGGATTCATGCTAGGGTTGTTTTCTACCATGCCACTCATTTAAATCCTTCTTCCTTGTTTTACGTAACCGACACAAACGGAAAAAAATTGCTTTTCTTCCTCAAAGGCAAAAACTTTTTTTCTACTCAAAAAAATCGCTGCTCTCATAAATTATAATCCTTGATGCAAGAAAAAAAAATATAAATTTTTGAATAGAATCAAAATTAAGAATTTAGTTCAAACGAACGACAATGAGGTTGAAGACGTTGTGTATATGCGTACCTTTCCTTTCATGATACATATATTTTAAGTACAACTGTAAGTACGAATTATAAGTCTCTCGCACCGTATTCTATAAAAGACGGTGACACAGTTGAGCAGATGTTATGTTCTTCTTATTCCTTCACCTTTTCTTCTCCTGCTCTTATTCAATTCCTTACAAATAAATAATAATAATAATTTCTACCCCAAGTTTTTCTTTTCCTTTTTTTTCACTTATAATTTCTTCTTATTCTTACATTATAAGACTATACACAACGAAACGTAACAATATTTTATACTTTAGATAGAATTTTTATAAAAGGATATAAGGACAATGAAGAGTTTCTTTTAAGAATCTAGTGTGTTGATAGAAAATGCCACCATGTATGTATGTCTCTATAATTATTACGATATCACATTGTGTGAGTAGTTGTGCAAAAACAACAAATTTTCTTCTCCTTTTCTTGCAAAATACAGCAATAGCTCTTAAATCTTCTCAGAATCAGCTTTGATTTTTTTTCTTTTCTTTCGTTTTTTTTGATGAACCTACCTGGAACTTGTCTCACTACTTTTATACCTGAAAAGGTTGCTTATGTATCTGTACATACTTTTTTTTGTATGTGCGAACGAGATGACGATGATCTTTTTACGATTGGGGTTGCAAAAAAAAATCTCTTCTTCTTCTTTCTTTCAATTTTTCTCGGGTTCGACTATTTGCGTTACAAATTTCATGCAAAAGAAGGCAAGAAATGAATTATTTGTTACACATCCTTCTTTAGACTGTAAAATTTCTACCGTGTCTATTGCAATTTTTCATCTTTATTGTCTTATTTGCCTTTATTGTATCTATTTTTGGCAATAAATATTTTTTTGTGCCAAAAATATACTTTTTGAGGTTGGTCGAAAAAAAAAATTATCAAAAAAAAAACTTATGCGCTTCCGAAGAAATGTGCTTGTTATCAAATATCCACGTTGCAAATTGAAAATGTTGATAAAATAATTATGACACGACGTTATTGAACCTTCAGTACAAAAATGAACGCATACAAGAATTTAAAATTATGCAATCGAGGAGGTTTTTCAATCACTTTGTGTAAAAAAACGTGGTTTCTTGCGACTAGTTGCTAATTTTTGATGGATTTTTAAGTAGTGTAGATATTAAAATTTTACAAAACTTTCCTGCAATGAAATTGTGTTTATTTATTCATCAAAAATAGTATATTCTGCTTAATTTATAGTTAATTACTCTTTTGAATCTATTTTTGAACCATTTTCGGTGCCAATTAGCAACAAAATCATTGATAATTAAATTAAAACTTTAATTTAACATTGTTAACACTTTGAATTATGAATATCGACTACAAAAGAAACTAGCGGGGCATGCAAGTTGCTAACATTCAATTTGTGGAAACTTTAACCGTTGAAGTTTTAAATTCGAATTTTATCATAAAATAACTTCCAGCTTAGTTTTTCCTCAAAAACTCACAATACAGAAACAAAATAATTGCAAACTAAATCGATAGAAAATTAAATATTGAAACAAATAACTTTAAAAGTATTACAAAAATTGCATCATCTTCTCATTCTTATATACAAACATACAAGACAGCTTAGTCATACGGAAAAAATAATTTTACAAAGATAACTACTCAGTAAATATGATTAATTTTCGACCAAATCTATCGAGTTTTAATTTTTCTTAACGTAAATCTACGAAAATTTCTTTCCCAAAATAATCCGAATAAAAAAAAGTTTCACATTCTCGAATAATCTTGAAGGATTTTAATTGGGTTCAACCAAAAAAATCTTCCACGAGCATGATAATTAAATAATAAATTCGTCAAATGTCCACTGATGTCAGATTTAGCATTAACTCATTTGGCACTAGAAATATGAGATGTGATAATTGCAGTAAACTCCTACACGAAGTCAGACAAAAATGCGTTCGTCATCGTTTCTTGACGATACGAAGAAAGACGTTTCGCAAGTTATGATGCAATGAAAGCTTGTTAAAAGAAAAGAACAAAGTCGCGAAAGCTCCAACGATCAGATTAGGAGAGCTTAAAATACGAAAAAGCTCCTCTTCTTGATAAATAAAAATGTTTTTGTAATTGAAAGCTCTCTCAAAAAATTCTATTTTGATTGGCAGATGGTATTGAATTTAACATACGACAAAAAAGAATCATAGTTGTGTGTAATGACGAAAGTGAAATAAAAAAATATAATTTAGCTTCGTACTGAAGAATAAATTTTATTTTTTTATTTCGTGGTACCACACACGGCAGAGAGCGTAATTCAAAGTCAATAAACTTCAATTCTCTTTAAAATAAACAGAATAGATATATAAAAATCCATTTAAATTGTTAATTTATTAATGGGCATTTAAATTCTTGAATCTTTGCTTTATATAGTAGAAACTATTGTTTCGGAACAATTTTAATGAACAAAATTTGTAAAAAGTGATTTAAACGGGGGAGGCAGAACTGATTTCTTGTGGAATATTAATTAAATTCGATTTTGAATTGATGAAGCATTTAATTCTTGCATCAGTTCATTCTGGCTTCAATTTCTGCTTCAAAATTCAAAATTTCGCGTCAAAGTTCAAAAATTTTGCTATAAAGTTCAAAAATTCTAATCTTGGTTTAAGAAATTGCATCAAAGTTCAAAAATTTTGCATCATTTTCTGCTTTAAAATTCAAAAAAAATGATTTTTCTTCTGCATCAAAGTTCAAAAATTTTGCATCATTTTTTGCTTTAACATAAAAAAAATTGCTGCTTCTGCTTCTTTTTACACGCTTTTCTAGTTCAAAATTCAAAACTTCGCATTAACTTCATAAATTTGCATCAAAAATCAATTTTAAATATTTCCTATCAGTTGCAAGCCCTCATGAAACCAAAAAATTCTATGCCTATAACGCAAAAAAAGAAGAAAAATTCACTTTTTAATTTTTAAAAACCCAAACAAAAAACGAAAGAAGAAGTCAAATAGTGCTTCATTTAAAATAAATTCAATAAAACAATGAAAATCATGATGGTGTGAAATTGAAAAAGAAGCATTTAAAAAATTGTTGAGTGAAGAAAAGGCGGAAAAATCTAATAAAAATGAATTTAAATAAAAGCTTGAATGGCAATAAATAATTCACTATAATAGTGTGGAAAATTGATAAAAATTAATAAAACAAAAAAAAATAAATAATATGCATGTAATAAAAACACAATGACCCTTCATGTCCGTGAAGATAGAACATGGAAAAATTATTATTATGACGATGTCACCAACTGTCATAAGCTACCGCACTCAATTCCCTTACCATCCAAAAATAACACACAATTAATGACACAACATTATGAATTTAAAATTAATTAATTCAACAGCACCGAACGATATCTGCCTACAATTTGCATTTCTCGCAGAATAAATAAACTTACAAGAGTCATTTGTTGTCACTAAAGTGGTTAACGGCTACCACCGCTTAATGATGCGCTCGAGTAACTCCTTATTGTATTCACTTTTAATTTTTAAAAATTGTGAATTTTATTGTGTAGTCGA